AGATGTAACCTCCTCAACCAACTTAAAAAAAAAAGGAAAAAAAAACGGAAAATCATTCTATAAAAGAAAATAATGTGACCGAACATATATAATGCTTGAATGATGGTATCTAAGAGTATAAGAAATCAAAATCCAGTATTTTTTTAAAGGTGTGGTTTGTATAGAGCTGAGACGCTAAACAATTCTTACTTTCAAATAGTGTCGAGAAATGTGGTTTTAATACTGGAAATCTTTGAGTAGCTGTAAAATATATTTTCATCTTTAATTATAAAATTTAAAGCTTCAAAAATAGTGTAGAACAAGCATATCTATGAAAACTTGAATAATTTAAAATTTTACGGTAAAAAAATGGGTTATAAGATGTACCATTTCCAAAACTTGAAATCCATTTTTTTCTAAGATCCATGCATCTTGATATCGAGATGATCAATTTGAAGATATTTACGCATCAAAACAACCTCTTCTAGTGAATTGTTTGAGGTATGATGTAATTTGATTGTTTAGAGCCTAGGCTCTATATAAACTTTTCCTTTTTTGAAAGCAGTCACCTTGTATTATAAAGTGGAGTTTATAAAGGAAAAAGTTTATTTAAGAGCAAAGTTCTAAACAATCAAATTAGGGCGTACCTAAAAAATTTCACTAGAAGAGGTTGTTTTGATGATCAAATATCCTCAAATTGATCATCTCGACCTCTAGACGCATGGGTATAAGAAAAAAAACAGACTTCAAGTTTTGAAAACAAAGGTATCTTATAATGCATTTTTTGACTGTTAATTTTCAAGATTTTCAAGTATTCATAGATCCGCTCGATCTACATTATTTTTTAAGCTTTAAATTTTAGAATTAGTGACGAAAATATATTTTAAGGCTATCACAGAGATTTCCAATAGTGAAACCACATTTCTCGATATTATATGAAGGCACATTTTACTTTGATTGTTTAGGCTTTAGAGCCTCGGCTTTCATAAATACTTCTTAATATATATTTCCTTGAGAGAACAAATGCATATTTTGGTCCTGCGGGAGTACGTTGTGCATGCTTTTCTTCTGCCTTTTTCCTTAAGTTTTGACTTGAGGACTTTGGGGTTCCACAAGAGTCCAAAAACATTCCTACTTATTGACCTCTATTAGGGTACCGTCCAAAAGAGAGTGGGCCACCCCCCCCCAACCCACTACAAAGAAGAAAGAAAAAGACTTTATAGATAGGACAAACAACAGGAGTTATAAATTTAAAGTAAAGTACCTCCTTCTAGAGAGAGAGAGAGAGAGGGTGGAGAGGGATGTTTTCTTGAGAGAGAATCTGAAAAAACGAAATATCAAGGAAAGGAAAAAAAATATAGCATTATGAATTTGCAAGGGTGGTGGAGGACAAGGGAGAATGACAAAAATGGTGGGGAAGGAGAGAAAGAGATCTTACAGCTACCCGGTTTGGGCCGGGCTAGAAAGAGAACTTGCCAGGCCGAGCTGGGTAAAGAATTAAGTGAAAAGGTAGTCTTTGTCTTAAATAGATAAATACATAAGTCAAAAATAAAAATAAATTACAAACAATATAAAATATAAGTTATTATACCTACCATTTTCATATAGTTCGATTATAATATACACCTTCTCAAATATACAGATAGTATATACACTTTTTATATTAACCTGATAGGCTATATATACTTTTCTTTCACGCTCTCCCTCAAACTACTCAAGATGCTATGAGACAGAGCAGCTGGATTTTAAACACTAGCTACAGAAACGAGCAAGACCTTCAAGTGCATAGGATGACTAGTAGAAACAGTAGACAATGCTTTAGGAACGAGAAATAGACACTACGAATATAAACCTTACTATGATACCATGTGAAGAGTCATGTTTATCTAAAGAGACTCGATGTCCATTAAAGATTATAAATATACAAACTTGTCTTAAATAGACAAATATATATGACAAAAATATAAATCAATCACAAACACCTATACTCTATCCAGACTTACTATAAAATACAAGATATCGTACTTACCTTTCTCATATAGATGGATTACAATATACACATTCCCAAATATACATATTACCATATACGCCTTATATATTAACCCGATACTCTATATTAACCTGATAGGCAATATATACTTTCCTTTCATAGTCTTATTTAAAACCCCAATTATAACATCTCTTCTCTCCCACTTCAACTCCATAACTTACTCTTACTGTTGCTATAAGGAGATATGAGTTGCCATATCTTCTTAACCCAAAATGATTGAAGAGATGAAATATTCCTTTTTTGTTTATTTAGTTATAATTAGTAGTATCAAAATCATATACTTGTTAATGCTAGGGGTCTAATTTAGTTAAAAGTAGTTTGATCATTTCAAATTAATTAACTATTTTTTAGAAATAAAAATATTAATTTAAAAATATAAAATAAATAAATACATATATTAAATTATTTTTAATTGATCTCAAAATCAATTAATTTTAGAAATAAAAATTTTAAATACTAATTTTGACCAGTTTTCTACTAAACTCAATTTTTTATTATAAACTAACTAAAACTTCCATCAAAATTTTAAGTAATTGGTCCAATAAATAGATTCCAATTTACTAGACTACCAAGACATACAAACTTACATTGGCAAAACCGTGAAACAGTAACTAATAGGCCAGACCCGGATTAGCGAAGCCACTAGGCCAATTGCCAGCCATAATATAGAGAGATCATGGAGTGGTGTACATCGAATGGGATTTTACTTGTTGTTTGGTGAGAAA